CGCAATACGGAAGTGCGAGCTATTTGTTTGTCTGCTGAATCTGACCGGCAGGTTATTTCATTTTTAAATGTGAGTTTTTTATGTACTTTACTTAATAAATGGTCTCTATATGCTACACAATGAGGAGTTTCTTCTTCTTTTAACTTTGGCAATCTATCGATTCATGGAACATCGGTGGGAGAGCTTATTAAATAGATGTGAGGACTTTGCGGTTTATCAGTGAGCTTAATATTGTTACTATACAATAGTATTGCGGTGAGTGTGCACTCCTGAGGGGGTGTTGGCGCGGATACAAACACTAGTGTGGGAAAGATCATCAAGCACGTTTGAGATGGTGTTTTTACACACGTTGGATATAATAACACTAACTTTCACTATCTATCTTCGATCAACCACATTGGATATGATACAAGTTTCCGGACTTTTATGAACTTATATATTCTTTGAGAGTTTTTTCACTTTTTATATTTATTGGAGTAAGAATATATATATATATGTGTGTGTGTAAAACATACATTGCACAATTTTGCACTTTTTGCACTTTTGCATTATTATGATCGATATTAATTTACAGTTTATACTGAGGTAATGGTTTATACCTGTAGCACATGATTTTTATATTTATTCACACAAATCAAAAGAGGTTTGTTTATACTAATTATATTTATGCACAATCAATGGATATTGTTTTATCAATAGTCTTTAGATTAGACTCATTATACTAGCTTTGGACCCATAGCGCTGCATACCTATTATTATTCACATCTTGACCATAGTGTCTATAGTGCAGCAGCTGTAATAACATCCATTAGTTCTCTAAATCTACCTATAAGCGCAGATTTGTCATTAATTTATCCCATAGTTCTCTTTTGAAGCCTTACAAGAAAAGTAATACTGCCACCACATTTAAGGGCTTGCAAACTGCCAGTCAGATGTACAGCATTAGGGACCCCATGTATTTGACCACAACTAGCCAAAAATCAGATCTGCTACATTTTTGATAGAGCAGTTCAATTTACTGTAGTGTTTTACTGTGTATTGTGGTGTGCTACAATGAATGGCACTGGAGCACACAAACACACATAATGTTCATTATCATGCACTATACCATAGCGCAGTGGTGTGAATGGGCCTTCAATGTTTGTTCTTGAGATTAGATATACTTTAAGACCACCTACTGGTGTTGATTTACTTGAATAAAGTGTAGCTTCCTTTGTATCAATCATTTAATCATACGCCAGCAAAACGCTTGTGTTTTTTTTTTTATTTCTCTTGCAATCGGAAGCCGATTAATCGATTATTGAAAAAGTTGACAACTTTTTCAATAATCGATTATAATCGATTATGTCGATTAGTTGTTGCAGCCCTACATGACTGGGCAAAGTGAATGCAATTCATCTTATTCACTAAGCTAAGTAATAAATGTTTGCTTTAACAAGTGAACACTACTATTCTCTAAAATAATAGCCTCCAGACTTGCCCTGAGCCTACAGTGGCTTATCCACCCTGACCAAGTGGCCTTTGTAATGTCTAGGGAGGCAAAGGAAAATACAATCCAATGACAGCCATAGATCTCATCCATCCAGCAAGGTCAAAGGCACACAAACTCGTGGTGCCGTCCACAGACCTTTAGAAAGTCTTTCAATGAATTGATTGAACCTTTGAGAAGACATAAGAGTCTTATGCCCACCTTTCCTGGTTTACATTCCTGAGTTAAGATTATCTCCCCCATTCACAATACGGTAAGAAAAACCATAGCGCTTCTGGTGTGCTGGCCCATAAGACTCAAAGAAGACACTACTACACTTGCTGTTATTTATTGTAACAGTTATTGCACTTTAATAAAAATCTCTTATAACAAAAAAAATGTATTTAAATATTAACATATTATACTCTTTAGTGTATTAACATCATTATGTTCACATGTTCGAAAATAAGTTAAAAGCATGTTAATGGAATGAACAGTCAAGCAGACTTTTTGGACATTTTAATTTGTTAATTGTCAAATTAGTCAAGTTCGAATAATGTATGTGTGGAATAGTCTACCACCAGAATAAAGAGAAAGTAATGAAGGAAAAGATTGCCAGTAAATGTGTTTCTCTGTGTGACTGTCAATACCAATGACCACATGTCTCTCCCCATTAGATGGCTTTATGGTTCAAATGATACATTTCATGGCAATTTAATCAAAATCTGTTAAACAATTATTTACTGCTGAAGCCTCCATCCATGGCCATGTGGTTTGACAAAATTAATGAATATAGGAGATCTCTCCTCGATGTTACATGGTACAGCCACAGCCTGTAACCAGAGATGGTTCTACTGGACGGTTTTTATGTCCTCTTCAGAATATTTATCCTTCCTATCTCTTGATGAACTGGTTGCTATCTGAAACGCACTTGGGCCTGATGTCAGAGCCTTTTTCCCCCTTCTGGTGGAATCTCTTGGGTGAGCCCCACCACCCTTAATTCTACCCCCCGCTTTTTTTTTTTCTCTTCTTACCTTTTGAACACTGATGCATTTCCCCATTTTCTCTCTTTTCTGTACTTCTTTTTATTTTTTCTTCCTTTTTTACAAGAAAAATCTGGATTCCTGAAGAAGTAGATGGATTTCACATATATGTCCTCTTTTGATGTATACTACAAATATCATTTACTTTTAGCCTCCCTTGGATGGCAAACACAGCCAGGACATGACCATATACATTATTTCAAAATAAACCTTTCATTGTTTAGTTGTCATCCATTGTTATAATCCTTTTAAATAAGAATGACACATGGTAGAAAACAACACAGATGCCTTCATGGTGGTGGCATATGGCTTGACTGCCGCCTTGATGCATTATTTTATCCTGGTATAAATGTGTACATTTGTACAGGGAATAAACATACAAACTCTAGCTAAGTTATTCCGTACTTTTTAGCTGATTGTTTCAGCCAACAGCTTGATAAATAAAAAAGCCCATTTGGAATCAGCTGTTTCATTACCAAGTTCCACCCTGTGCACCTGCAATTCTGTTATAAACTCTAATCCTTAGTAACCACCGTTACCATAGCAAAATCAAATTTTATACAATTACTGAACTCAGGCATTAAAAAATTATTATCGGAGCCATAGAAATGGCATGGAGAGTAAAAATCAGCGCACAAAGAAAACATTCAGGAGCACGCCGAGGATGGCTGCATATGTACATTTAATTATGGGCATTTTAGGACAAATATGTAACAGGTTTGCATTAATTGTAGCCATGGGGCTATGTTAAACCTGCAAAAAAATCCTAATCTTTTTTTTAAACATGTCAGTGTTTGCAGATCTGTTCGAGTTGTGGTGTTTATAAAAAAAACATATTGCAGGAGTACTGAAATATGCGTAATTAACTTCCGATAGCAGTAGTGCTGAATTCAAAACTGTCAGAAGTCATGTCATTAGTAAATAGCAGTGAGGCATGCAGAATGACAATCAACTTGACTCCCATAATTCACTAGCATCTGTACTTCATTTGAGAGAATTTCACCCCTGGGCTGTTATGTTGTTAAGCCAGGAAATAGATGGCAGATTTGTTGCTTGTTATGCACCCTTCTGCAGTGTCTGTGAGGGAAGAACAATAAGAGTCCTCATGATTTTGTAGCATTCAAACTTTTTTTTATTTTATTTTTTTCTAACTGAATTTCATTATCATTCACAGGAGCAAACAAAAGACTGCCAGTAGCTCAGAGACACATAGTGTTTGTTTGGAAACATATCCAGATTTAAAATACATTGTAAGCAAACTCTTTTTTTCTGGATTATGCAAGATGGACTTATTTTATTTTTGGACTCAGAAAGAGAACAGTCGTAAAGAGTGACTCCATCCAAAATATTTACGCCTTGCATGGTGTGAATCAGCATTTAATTGCAGTCTGTGTTCATGTTGAGAAAATTTCCTCTCAACTCCTTTTTTGTTGATTGGCACTGCCAAGACCCAAAGAAAAAAAGTGTCTCCAGGGAAGCATAGAAATCAATAAAAAAAACTCATATAGCTTTTAATCCATCTCCAATCGGCCAAAAACGTTAAAAAAACGGTTTTGGCTGGAGTTCTCAAATACATCCACAAAAATATTTAAGAAATATGCAGTCATGTTAGTTGTGCTTGCAGTAGCACATGCTGAGCATCTCTGTTGATTATATTGAAATAAGTTACTTTACCATGTACGTGTTTCCATATTGTGAGCAGCGTGGTGACTTAAAGGTTGGCATAGATTGCCTTTTAGCACTAAGGATCAAAAACTCAGGTAATTTAAAACCCAACTGAAGTCACTGTAATCAAAGCACTGGCAAATAGATATTGTTCTTACAATCTCCATTTTCTTAATCTTACTTCTGCTTTCCTGCTACAACAGCTACACAGTGTGTGTGTAATTATGGCTGTGCAGTCCCATAGCCACCAAAGCTAGATCCCGTGCTCCCAAAAGTAATCTCTCAGTAATAGCCTGGTCTGACACACCACTCTCTCCCTCTGCTGTTCAAGTCTGTGTGAGGACACTTGTGCAAAGAGGGGTGGCTGTCATTCAATTTTGCTGGCATAGAGCACTGGAGTGTGAGTGCAAGAAGCAGCATGATCACTGAAAGAAAAAGGTATCTTAGGACTTTTCCAAACATAAATCAGTTACAAATTATAACATGGTGGCATAAGTTAGAAGAGGTATAAGACTGTAATTGGGCTTTAAGTGGTATGTACCTAAATTGGTCTCCCAATGCATACGAGTGACTACTATGCTACTAACTTTAAAAGAAAGGCTGATCTTCATATATATATATATATATATATGTGTGTGTATATAATAGATAGATAGATAGATAGATAGATAGATAGATAGATAGATAGATAGATAGATAGATAGATAGGATAGAACAAATATATATAAACCCCTCACAGTATATTGAATTCAGTATTATATTTTTCATATATGTGATTATTTCAGCTCATTCAGTTAACAATGTCTTAACTTTTTTATGCTAAGATGCACTCTCTACGCCTGTTGAGTCAGAATCAACCATCACAGATCTTTCAGAGTATGAGTGACAACTTCCGCCCAGTGCAACCCCTTTTCCATCGAGGGCTGAGAGGCAATCTCGATTTCCGCAAACCAGGACGAAAATGCAAAGGAGCAAACTACAAACTGCATGGTATGGAAAAAATCTGAATCTTAGATATTTAGAAACAAAGTAGTACTAGCAAATGACAACTGCAAACTTTGACACTTAAATGTAACTTTAACATTTGCAATTATCCATTTTGTTGCATTGTGTTAACCTGTATGCTACCACAACACCGTTAAAGCATGATCATTATGTGCATGAGCATGTCGCCGTGCCATTTATTTTAAATGGTATCCCAACATACTAACTGCAGCACAGCACAATGCATTACATCTCCAACACATGTGTTGCAGCACACCACAATGCAATGTAAGGCACTACATTGTGTTGTGGTGCTCTTTGTCAAAGATCATACTACTAGAGGTGCACTGAAGTGAAGTTTTCACTGGAACCTGAAAATTATGTTTATTTTTTTTTATATTTTTATTTTACTTTACTTTTTGGGGGCTCTGGGGAAATATCAGGGGTCTAAACACAGAGTCCCCAATCTCTTTTTCTTCATCTCCTGTTATGAATGACCAGAAACCCTCTATACGGAGTGCTCCTGTCCATTCATAAACTGTGGAAATAGTAGTGTTACTATGTCCACAATCATGAATGAACAGGAAGCGATGTAGAGCACTTCCTGTTCACTCATAATTGGGGACGCAGTAAACACAATATGTCCTCAATTATTTACAAACATTCAGTGATCAGTTGATTGCTGAGTGTTTGTATACCGCTCTCCATCCTGACTGCTTAGCTCTCCATCTTGACTTGCTGTCACAGGACACTAAGTAGGCAGTCTGGGGAGGAGAGCTCAGCCTCCTGTGATACAGCTGATAGCTTAACTCCTCCCCAGCACCGCCGGCTTGGTCTCCTGTGACAGTTGACAGCTGTCTCCTCCCCTCACCGCTCTTTATCCTGATCTGCCTGTCACAGGAGGTTGAGTAGGGTGGTGCGGTAGGAGAGCTCAGCTTCCTGTGATAACACTGACAGCGCTCTCCTCCCCACCCCGCATAGCCTCCTGACATTTTCTCTCCTCCCTGCTGGGCACTGCTCTGTGTCAGAGGGGACACAAATCAGCACCCAGCGGGGGGAAGAGAAACTAGGGATGCACCGCATTTTCGTCCAGAAAATTGTACTTTAAGTATTTTGCCAAAAGTAACATTTTTGGCCGATATGTTTCGGTGGCCGAACTATTGGTGCATCCCTACATGTCCATTTTTTTGTTCATTCTTATGCATTGGCAGCCCATTAATTTGAATAGGCTGCCTTAACACAACGATTGTTAAAGGAGGACATAACATGCAATACACCAAAATACAATTAACCAAAAATGGATAAGTGTAAATTGGCACTAAATGGAACAGTGTTTTCAAGCACTTAAAATGTCACTGTTTCCTAGTAAAACCTTTACATTTTTCTGTAGCAATTCCTTGTTCCTCATTCCAGAGACAGAAGAATAAGACCGTAAGGAGTATGAAATATTTTTTTTCGGTCTAGCTTATTCGTTATTGTACAAAGTCAAATGAATTTAAGAATGCACTCCTAAATACGTAGATTTATTGCTCAACAACAAACCTTAAACTTCGCAACAATAGCTACCCTACTAAAGTTTGACACCTTTCCTAAGAGAAGTTAAAAGCAGCACTAAAGACCCTTCAAACCTAACTTTTGTTATACACCTTCCTCCAAAATAAATTTCAGTCAAATGCATTACATTTTTTGATAAAGCACAAATGGTGTATCAATTATGTGACTATGTCACTAGAGATCCACCTTTAAAAATAACTGTGTAGATCCGCTTTGAATTTATGCCAAACCCTTGTTATGCTTCTGCCACATTCCAAAGAAGACCGAGGAGGGGGTCCATGGAGGATCTTCATGAAACATTAGTGTGAGGTAATTTCTTTATCACTTTTAGTTCAGCCAATGTAGAGGTACTACTGATCTTTTTTCTTACTAAAGAAGTGTTTTATAGAATTTTTGCTCGCTTCACCCTGTACCTCCAAGGATTAATTAAGGAAGTAAAGGTGGGTGTAGCCTTGACTTATAAAGCTGGTCATACACCTTACAATTATCTGCAGATTTTCTGTGGTCAGATGGAAAAGGTGCAACAGATTCCTCCATCTACACTGTGTGGATGGAGTAATCTCCACCTGGGCCAATCTGTTGCACTTTTTCCATCTGACCACAGAAAATCTGCAGAAAATTGTAAAGGTGACCATACACCTTACGACCATTGCATGACTTTTGTCTTGCAATGGTCGTAAGCTTATTAAAAGCTCGTACAATCTGCCCATCTTGGACAGGCAGATCGTACTTGCGATCATCGAAAGCCCGCCCCGCTGTGGGCTTCCGATCACTGCAAACGGGCAGTGTGCGCGTGCGCACACCGGCCCGTTCGGCAGTTGTCGAACAAGCAGGCCACTAACCCGTACGATTCTCGGCAGGTTTTCAAGCCTGCTTGTTCGACAGAAGACGTGCGACTGTACAGTAGAAACGGTCGCACGCCTTCCATACACTTTGCGATTATTGTACGATCGCTGGATTTCCTGCGATACTCGTACGATAATCGTACAGTGTATGGGCATCTTTAGGTGTATGGGCACCTTAAGAGGTCTGTCCTATTTCAATAAAAGGTTTTACTTTAACAGATACAAATTGTGAAAAATAAAGATGTTCACTACATAAATGTGGTTTATGTTGATAAACTAAAGGTCCTGTAGTGATCAATGGGTAAAGAATGGTTAGTATTTATTTTTACAACCTGAAAATGGTATTGGCATCATGACAAATCCTAATGAGGGCAACATGCATTGATTCATGCGCCAGCAACCAGGTGCTACCCTTGGTGTGATAATGTGACCCTACATTACCTCCTCAAACATGCAAGTGATAGAGGTATAAAAAAGGGATGGTCGCACTACAATGTAGGGCAAAGTCGCCAAATGGTCCCTTTTTGAAAACAAACACTCATTTAATTTCATGTTTTTGTTAAAGTTATGCCCCCAGTGGCCACACACTCCACAAGGTGTAGGCAGACTTTTTAAGGCACTTTGTCAGATCACGATGAAGTTCACACAGGTTAAGCTAAACCACATCCTTGCAATTTTTCACTCCCGTCGACACTCTTCCATTGGTTGCTATGGGAGATAACACTTTCCCTCCAGACACTCGCTGGCCATGCTGGACTCGGTCTCCGAGCGACACATCCTTCCCAGTTTCTATGGGAGACGGCAATCTCCCTCTGGACAATTTGCTGGCTCACTTGGCCACGCTGGATACTCTCTCCAGGCATATTTGCGTGGCCCCACTCCTCTGCAGGCGACCTCCGTGGCAAACAGTCAGCAATCCTGCATTCACTGGCAGTGCGTTTGACACCTGCGCACCTGCTGGGCCAATGTCCATACCCTTGCTCCTTCTGAGCAGGCTTCTCAGTTGCTGGGGTCGAGGCTGCACAGAGCTGGTTGTACCAGTTAACGGCAGACTGAAACACTGGCACATCTTTCTGGGTCACTGGTGCAGCTTCCACATATGGCATTATGCCTTCCAGCAACCATGCTTCTGCAAGCATCTTTGCATAACGTTCCTTTCTTTTTGAGGGACCCATCACAGCATACACTCAGTTTGTGCGATCCACAGCACTTATGCTCACTCCAGCAAAATAGAGCACTGCAAGAGGTGGAGCCGGCTGCCCGCATTCGAACACCACTTGTGACGTTGGGGAGGTTAGCACAAATGGCGAGCGCTTAAGGACCAGTCATGAAGCCGTTTTCACAGAACAAAGGACAGTCTTTTATTTATTCCAAAGGCAGAAAAAGGAAATCCAACATAAATAACTTGCTGTAGCATATGACAGATATGGGCTCACCAATCCTTGAGTTGTCCCAAACACTCACGGTGTCCCAGTCTTTTAATAAGTCTCTCTTGCAGCACTGCTGCGCTGGCCCCAATCTTCAGGGCCACTGTCTGGTTCCTCCAGACAACCACAATAACATGCCTATCCTTCCAATATGTTTCATGAACCTGCAGCTCCCTGCTGCACTGGCCTCCACACTGACCCCTGGGTGGAGTTCTCCTGACTCACAGGTGGGGGCCCTGAACAAATCCCAGCACCCTCTTCATGAGGGCTGTACACAGGTGCATAATCACTATTAAAAGGCATGGAACCATGGAATGGAGATTTGGAGGCCACATAACACAGTGGTATTGCCACGCAATGCCACAATATATATACACACACAGTATGCAAAGATAACACATATGTATCACTGTATTATTAAGGACTGCAGAGGTTTCTGTTGACACCCTGTACCCCCTGTGACATAATTTGGAATCAAGCAGAACTGATAGAGGAGGTACAGGAGGAGACTTAAGAATCAATTTTAATAGCCACAGATCTTTGCAGCCGGTGCAGTAAGACTTTTTTGGCTGTATTAATAGTGTAGCTGTATTGCCCTCAGAGCTTTTAGTTATCCAGGCCAGCACTGAAATTAACCCTGTATGTGTCTTCTTCAGTGTTCCCATCTAAAACTGTCAGCTGTTTGTAGTTCTGCAAAAAAGAACCCAACAGTTTAAAAACATTTAAATGAAGGTTATAGCGTAATTGTGTGCACTAACAATTATGTTATAACATAAAATTGTGTGACAGTCATTATTATTGGTACTAAAACCGAAATGCTGTAAAAGAAATGTGATGCTCCCTCTCCTCTGACAATTTTTGTCCACAGCACTAGTCCCTAGTAGTGTACTGACTATGCTGACAGCTCTCATGCTACCTGTCCTTTATTTACAAATACTTTATTTGAAGATCAGTGGCAATACGTAGGTCACTGGGGATACCCCATCAATATCTTTCTATGGGACCCTATGATTTATAGTTACGCAGCTGCTCTCATGTTTTATAAGATGCAAATGTTATCTGACAGCAAACATGCCCTTCACATCCATTCTAATGGTAACAAGAGAAATGGGGGAAGCATTCCAAATGTCGCAATGTTGGTTTGGCAGGGAGTAAATTAGGTTCTTACTGCCTGATAGCACTTGGATATTACGTCATTAAATTACATTATGAAGAATCCCTCCGATTTCTCACCTGCCCAAACTGAAAAGTGTCCAAGGTCAATGTCACAGAAAGATGGGGTTCCAGCACCTACTGAATCCACATCTAGTAAAGATGGGCCCAGAGAGCTCCTTTGGAATTATATAGGCTGTATATTGTGGTATGTCTGTCCTGCCAAAACATCCAGAGAATCAGGAAAGTCGCTCACTTGTAAATGGGGATCCTATAAGCCAGCAAGATACACAATACTCATTTGTGTGTTACTCAGTGATGTATGCAGTGTATTTCTTCATTAGCAACAGGCTATGTAGTTTTGTATATAATGCATGAAGGGGGCTGTTTTTAGAGCCCCTGATATAAAATAATCTGCGGAGATGGGAGAGTTAGGGACTGAATTCACAAGGTGGTGAATAAAGAGTTGTCCTTTTGTATATCGTTTGTTTGGGGTGGGAGTTCTGATTGAATATTTTTGGTAAGCAAAAAAAATAAAAATGTAAAGCTCAAGTAACGCCTCCAGTTTTCTTCTTGCATTTTCAGTGTTATATGGCATGTGCCAGCATCTAAGCAGATACAGCAGCAGCAGCAAGGGTGATGATACTACAGTAATTTCACTGCAGAAAGAAACACTTTCTTTAAGGGTGCATTTTTAAGGGTGCATCTGCTTTTATTATATATGCTTATAGTTGGGGGAATGTGCTGCATTGTATGTAAAAGAAAATACAATTACATATAGTATACTGTATATACACAAACAGAAATACATTTACAGGAAATACATCTTGAATTAGGTGGTAGTTGTCAATCTTTTTTTGTTTAATTCTAATTATTTATTCTATTAATATATCAAAAGTATGTGACAGAGACGAGAACTATTTCAGCCAGGATTTAACACCCTGACAGGTCCGAGTGGGTAGTGACTGTTTATATAAAAACAAAGGTGTCAGTCTAACACTAAACCAGGACTGGCTCTTTTTAATCAGATGTGAATTGTATCTTTACAATTTTATATGAATTGTATATGATTGATTAATTGTTTGGTTTGTGTTGCAGTGGACAGGTTCATGTCTTCCAAGAACTCAGACTGAGATATTTGTGTCACGCCTGTCCACCTGAAAAAACTTCCAATTGAACTTTTGATTCATAAATGAAGCAAGATTGCCATTTGATTGTGTTTTCAAAGAACATTTTTACAAGTTTTCAAATAATACACTTCATGTGAAATGCACAGTGTCACCAACACATGGTGTGTGAGAAATGCTAAACTATTTTTAAAAGATTAAAGATGATCACTAATGTCTTCTCTTTATTGCCAAACGGACATAATAAAAGCAAGAGTTGCTGTCTCAATTACTTTAGGAGGAAACAATGAAAGTCCAACTGCAAGATCAGATAAATTATTCAACAGCCATCAACATTTATGAAATACATTGAAATGAATGTCTCCCAAAAAATTGCCTGCTCAGAAGTACATGCTGAACAGCTTTGTGCTATTTTGTAATCCTAAAAATGACTTGCCTGTTCCCGAAATGTGTGATATCTGATGAAAAGCAGCACAGGTAATCAGCAGGTGAGAGATGTAAAATGCCAGAAAAGATTAACTGACTTATTTGTATTTCTGTCCTATTAATAAACCAAACATTTTACCTAACAGTACATGAGATATGACTTTGAATTGTTGGTTTCATTATCTTGTGAATTTCTTTTAATCCATTCTACCAAGTAATAATTCCTGTTTTATAGAAAATCAAAATAAAACAGCCAGAATCGAAAGACTGCATATGCTATATCTCATTGATTACATCAGTGTTTTATGTTTATAAAATTGAAGTAGCAGTTTTCTGCTATCTGTTATAATTGAATGGATAATCCGAATAGAGTGAAAAAATTATTCTGCCACATTACCTGCACAGCAATTCGCACCAAAAGCTTTATTTGAACATTGTGATGACATCTGGTGGACTCCTCCATGCTACCTTACAACCCTCCCAGCTTCTCCCATGTACTGTCCCACAGCCAGTCATGAAAGGCACCAATCACCAGACATATTCTCCTATTAAACAGCATTACAGGAGCACATACATATATATATATATATATATAT